CTGGCTTGGGGGAAATGTTGGGCCTGGGAACAGGATTTTGAGGGGAAATGCAGTCTTCTGTGTCCATGAAGTTGGAGCTGCTTGTCGTGACCTGTGTGGGACTGGCAGGTAGACAGTGGGTTTTCAAACTCAGAATTCAGTAGAGAGGCCTGGCTGGTATCACCCAGGGAGAGAGAAACAGGCCCAGGACATTGAACTTGGGGCACCCCCACCTATAGCGATGTGGAGACAGGGAGCCTAAAAACACCACTGAGGAAAACAGGCTGATGGACAAGGCCCAGCAGAGGAGGAGCCTGTGACTAAGTCCCGGGCAAATGGCACAAATGAAAGGCAGGACTCAGGGTGGGGAGTCCCGGGGCCTGGAGCAGTTGGGGGTGGCTTCCCCGGATGCGCCTTGAGTGGCAGGTGGGATTGTCAGAGTGCCTGAGACCCAATACCAGTTGGGCTGGGCAGTGGAAACAGCATGAGCCAAGGGCAAGCCCAGAGCTGAGGGGGTACCTAAGGGTGAGCGGTCAGCCAAGTTGTCCTCTGTGGCAGTGAGGGTTCCTGCCGCCTCCATGTGCCTGCAAGTAGCTGTCTGAATTTGGAGAAATGTCCTGTTTTATCTTGGAAATACGGGAAGTTTGCATTCAACTTCTCCATTTATCTGGGTTTCTTTCACTATATAAAAAGGGGTTTGCCCTGGTTGGTGTATCTCAGTGGTTAGAGCATTGGCCCATGCACCGATGGGTCTCGGTTTTGATTTTCAGGCAAGGGCATGTGGCTGGGTTGCAGGTTCAATCCCTGGGCCTGGTCAGGGCATGTATAGGAGGCAACCAATCGATGTGTCGGTCTCACACTAATGTTTCTCTCTCCCTTCCACTGTCTAAAAATCCATAAAAATATATCCTTGTTTAGTGAAAGTCCAGGCCAGTGCTTCCCATCTGTCCTGTAGCTTTGCTACCACAGATACATGTCCTCCCCTGGGGTCAAGTGCGTCGTTTGGAAAGCTCCGCTGTCCGCAGTGTGAGGGAAGGGCTCTTACGGAGTGTTCCGGAAGCTCGGGCTGCCGGTCACGCACAAACCAAGTGGGTCTGATGGGGAGGGACAGGGTGGAAGGTTTTGGGATCAGCTCCAGCAGCAGTTCAGGAGTCCACGGTGGCCTGGTTTAGGGTGAGGCGGTGACATGGGCGCAAGACAAGGGTTCAGGAGAGTGAAGGTTCTGACCCTAGAACTGGAGAGGAGTGGGGGGCCGTTTCTCAGGACTCGGGAGCTGCAGTGGGCAAGTCTGTTTTGTGGAGAAGAGGCCGAGTCCGGGGGGACAGAGCCTCCAGAGAGGCATTGAGGTGAGCAGTGGGGCAGGGGGAGAGGCCGCCCAGCGGGGAAGGGGGCCCACCTCCGGCCTCCTTCCTCTCTGACCTTCTTGCTCTCGCCAATTCTTTCGTGGAACTTGAATCTTTCTTATTTTTTTAATTTTCTTTACCTGCTCCCTCTATATCCATCCCAACAATAATTATAATTAGGCTGCTGTCCTGGCCCACGTATCCTCAAAGACAACTGTAATTCGGACCAATCCCAGGAAAATCAGTGGAAGTCAGAAAGATTAGGGTCAGTGTGAGGCTGACCTAGAAGCTGCTTGTCTCTGGCCTTCTGCGTCAGCGGGGAGAGGTGCGCGATGAGTGGCCAGGGCACCGCCTCCCGGTGCTGCTCCCACACGACCCTGAGCGACCCCTCCTGTGCCCTCCCAGTCTTGCTGGAATGAGTATCTGACAACTCGCATCGAGCAGAACCTGGTGATGAATTGCACCTGCCCCATTGCCGACTGCCCGGCCCAGCCCACGGGAGCCTTCATTCGTGCCATTGTCTCCTCGCCAGAGGTCATCTCCAAGGTACCCCCTCCTCCGAGAGAGGCCCCGGTGCACAGCCAGAGGGGAGACCCCAGGGAGTGGGCTGACTGCGGGTGCGGGGGGCCTGGAGGTGTGGTGACCTAGTGAGCCAGGCCCTCGCCTGTGGCCCCTCTGTCCCCACAGTACGAGAAGGCCCTGCTCCGTGGCTACGTGGACAGCTGCTCCAACCTGACGTGGTGCACCAACCCCCAGGGCTGTGACCGCATCCTGTGCCGCCAGGGCCTGGGCTCAGGGACCACCTGCTCCAAGTGTGGCTGGGCCTCCTGCTTCAACTGCAGCTTCCCCGAGGTGGGCGCCCGCCCAGCCCTGACCCACCCCAGCCCTGCTCAGCACACAGATTCCGCCTTGTCCTCATCCGCTGCCACCGAGCGGAGCTTTGTTCCTCCTCCCGTCATCCTCCAAATGGAGCCTCCCTCCCTCCCGCCCCCTCGAACAATAGCAGGAGGGCCCCCCTGAGTAAGGGCTGGGCTGTGTCCTCCCCTCCCCGTCCTGCTCCAGGCACACTACCCTGCCAGCTGTGGCCACATGTCTCAGTGGGTCGATGATGGCGGCTACTATGATGGCATGAGTGTGGAGGCCCAGAGCAAGCACCTGGCCAAGCTCATCTCTAAGCGCTGTCCCAGCTGTCAGACTCCCATCGAGAAGAATGAAGGGTGTCTGCAGTAAGAACGGGTGCTGGGGGCCCTGGGGAAGTCGGCAGGCACAGGAGAGAGTAGGGGCCTGGTGGTGAGAAAGGGGTGGTGGGGCTTCTGAAAAGCGGAGCAACAAGGGCAGTTACTCAGCTCCCCTCTCCGGGCACCCTCCAGAGCGACGCCCGCAGCTCATTTCCCCGGGTTTAGTCTAGTGTGTGGGGGACTTCGAAGCCAGGGGCTTTCAGTAGGAACTGGTGAGGCTAGGGCGTGGAGGGGCCAGGGACACCGTCGTGTGCATCTAGGCCCCTGGCTTTCCTGGCGCGGCCCTGGCCAGAGGCAGGAGTCCTCTGACCAGGTAGCTTCCTCCGTAGCATGACCTGCGCCAAATGCAACCATGGATTCTGCTGGCGCTGCCTCAAGTCCTGGAAGCCAAATCACAAAGACTATTACAACTGCTCTGCCATGGTAAGGGGCTGGGCACCGAGGAGCGAGAGGCCCAGAGGCAGGCAGGAGGGGCCCTGAGCAGAGGGCTCTCTCAGTGGGGAGAAGACAGAAGCCACCTAGGCCTGCAGTGCTGGGAGGTCTATCCTGGGAGGTCCATGCATGGGGAGCAGAGGCCCAGGGTGGGACTTCCACCCCCAGGTGGCTACAGAGGGCTGGGTGGGCTGGGCATTCTCGGGGCAGCAGGGCAGAGCGGAGAGCAAGGACTGAGTCAGGACCTGGCTCTTCCAGTTGGTATGTGGCTTTGGGTCAGTTTACTTGTCCACTCGTCAGCATTCTCACCTGTAAAAGGGTAATAATATGACCTATCTCACGGAGTCTGAGGATTACAGAGAGAATCTGGGCAAAGCGTGGGAAGGCCTCTGAATGGTAGCTAGTCTGACGAGCCCGCACTGTCCCAGAGAAGCACAGTAGCCCCCTCTGTGTCTCACAGGTGAGCAAGGCAGCTCGCCAAGAGAAGCGGTTCCAGGACTACAACGAGAGGTGTACTTTCCATCACCAGGCCCGGGTGAGGAGGGGAGGGTGGGGGAGAGGCCAGGAGGGGCCCAAGGGCCGAATCGATGGGTGCTGTTCTGAAGGGATGCGTGTGCACGCGCTCGCTGACCCACCTTCCTCTGCACAGGAATTTGCTGTGACCTTGTGGAACCGAGTATCTGCCATCCATGAGGTGCCCCCACCCAAATCCTTCACCTTCCTCAGCGACGCCTGCCGGGGGCTTGAGCAGGCTCGAAAGGTTGGGGGGTGGGGCGTGGGGGAATGTGCCAAGGGGACTGGTGGGCTGGGCAGCTGTCTTCTGACCGGTTGGATGGAGGGAAGGAGGAGGGAGCAGGTGAGAGGCAGGTGCCTCCCCACAGCAGGAGGCCTGACTTGGGTCCCCAGGTGCTGGCCTACGCCTGCGTGTACAGCTTCTACAACCAGGAAACGGAGCAAATGGACGTGGTGGAGCAGCAGACGGAGAACCTGGAGCTGCACACCAATGCCCTGCAGATCCTCCTGGGTGAGGCCTGCCCCCTGCCCGCTCAGTCCTCTCTCCTGCCCCTCCCCCCCTGAGCACCCCACTCCAGCTTCCCACCTTCACGCTGTCCCTTCGTTGTTCCTCATTCATGGCCCCATCACCACAGGCCTTTTAAAATTCTGCTGGAAAGGCATACAGTACAGGCTGTAAGTGCCTAAGGGCACAGGTCTTCACCTGACCTTTTATTTGACTACTAAATTCATGCATGAAATTCGTGATAGAAATAGAAATATATATATATCTCCTAGAGGCCCGGTGCACTCTCTCCAATCCGGGACCCCTCGGGGAATGTCTGCCTGCCGGTTTAGGCCCTATCCTGGCAGTCGGACATCCCTCTCACAATCCTGGCCGGCTGGCTCCTAATCGCTCACCTGCCTGCCTGGTTGCCCCTAACTGCTCCCCACCCCCGCCAGCTTGATCGTCCCTCACCCAACTGCCCTGCTGGCCTGGTTGCCCCTAACTGCCCCCACCCCTGCTGGCCTAGTCGCCCCTCATGGCCTCCCACCCGCCGGCCTGGGCACCCCACGCAGCCTGCTGATCAGTCATTTAGTCGTCCCTCACTAACCTCCCCTACCAGCTGGTCGTAGGCAGCCATTGTGTGAGGGTATGGGTTAATTTGCATATTGCCTCTTTATCATATAGGATATCTGTCCCCATCACTCGAGTGTAAGCCTCTGGAGAATGGGTGTCTAGCGCTGGGCCTGCTAGGTGTTGGTAGAACTGGTGGGAGTGCAGTAGGGGTTTGCTGGAGGAGGGGACGGAGGGAGGAAGAAGGGAGGGAGCCCCCGCGCCCTGCCCCCTCTGCAGAGGAGATCCTGCTGCAGTGCAGAGACCTGGCCTCGGCCCTGCGTCTCCTGCGGGCCGACTGCCTCCACATGGGCCTGGAGCTGCTCCGGCGGATCCAGGAGAGGCTGCTCGCCATCCTGCAGCATTCCACCCAGGTAGGCCGCCCCACCTGGACCTCCCGTGCCCAGCACCCAGGAGACCTGGGGGTGTCCCAGCCCCTTGGCCAGCCTGCTGGGTGCTGTTGGACCCTGCCACTTAACCTCCTGGCGTTTCTTACAAAATAAAGGAGTTAGCCCAGATCCTTGCTCGGGAACTTTTTCAGACACACTTCCCAGATGTGGATTCAGAATCCCAGGAGTGGGGGTCAGGGGGTGGAGTCCACTGAGTAAGGGAGCTGAGAGTCTTTCCAGCTGTAATACGCCGACGTTGAGTCTGAACTAGGAGTCCCACGCTCAGGGAGCGGACAGACTGACAAGTCACGAGTAGGAAAGGCATGAGCATATCCTGAGCTCCTGAAGCAAGGCCAGTGTGCTGACCTGTATCCTGTGTCCCTGGAGACACCTCTGGTGCTGTGATGGGGGAGGGAGAGCAGGTGGGAACGTCCTGCCAGGAGCATGGCACCTAGTAGGCCCTCGGAGGACGCTGGTTGGAGAAACGCTGGGCAGAGGCCCAGTGGCCTCTCCTCTCTTGCTCCCCTGTCCTCCGTCTCTGCCAGGACTTTCGGGTTGGTCTCCAGAGTCCATCGTTAGAGGCCCGGGAGGCGAAAGGGTCCAACGTGCCCAGCAGTGGGTGAGTGTGGGCGGAGCCCCAGAGGGGGGTGGGATATGGCAGGCCTCCCTGGGGCTGAGCGGCTGGCGCTCTCCCTATTGATGGCGATCTGTCCCCCCAGGCCCCGAGGCTCCTTGGGGCTGGAGACGGATGAGGAGGAAGGCGAAGGCGACATGCCCGAGTGGCAGCAGGACGAGTTCGATGAGGAGCTGGACAACGACACCTTCTCCTATGACGAGGAGTCAGAGAACCTGGACCGGGACGCTTTCTTCTTCGGGGATGAGGATGAGGATGAGGGCTATGACTGAGGGGCAGGATGCAGGGAGCTCCCGGAGCTGCGGGGCCAGGGGGCCGGCCGTTCATCCCTGACCCCTGTCCTGGGTGCTCCGAGGGGCAGTTCCCAGCATCTGCAGCACCTTCTTCTGTTTACCGAATAAACTTCTTTCATATACTTCTCTGGAGCGGGCCCGTTCTAACTCCCCTGCTTCCCGCACACCCAACCCTCCTCTAGTTTTCTTTAGACCTCCAGACTCTGCTGTTGTCAGCGAGGCCCAAAGCTGACCCTGTGACCTAGGCTGATAATGGGAAATGACGGTCCATGTGGCACAGACTTGCCCCAGACCCAGCCCAGCATCAGAGGAGACGGATGGCCATCCCCTGGGTCGGCCTCCCTCTAAACTGAATGTTCCTGGGAGGGGCCTGCGCATTAGGAAGGGCCCTCTTGGGGGCCTGCAGAGTTTTGCAGGTTTTCCCTGCATCGCAAAGTGAGTGTTTTGGGGGAAGAAGGGGGGCATTACTGAGGCCCTGCCCACCCCACCCCACCCCACACACAGACAAGTTGGAAGTGTAGACATGCCTTTTAATTTGTACTGGGCTTTCGGGGAGGAACGGTACAGAGCAGAGTCGGGGGTCTGAAGAACTTAATGACGGGGTGAAGTCAAGGGGTTGGATCAAGGGAGGAAGCCGGCTGCTCGGGAGAATTAGCTGCAAAGTATCGGTCCAGCATGACTTCCGCCTCGCCCACCGCGTAGTCCCACACCTGGAACCGGGAGCCGTCGGCTGCTCTGCGGATCATGGCCGAGAGCACTGGGGGCAGAGGCAGGTGACGGTGCCTCCCACGCCCTCTGTCCTCGCCTGCCCAGCCCTTGTTGGGGACAGACACTACTCAGCCCCCCAAGAAAGGGCGCTGAGGGCTGGGTGCTCAGCTGGGGGCGGGGGGCGTGGCCATCCAGGGCTTGGCTGCTCACCTTGGCCAGACTTCCGGCGGATCAGGCACAGGATTCGCTTATTGAAGGCCTCGGCCCGGCCCACCTCGGAGCCTACACCCAACGCCGGCTGGGTCACTTCTGCCACAATCACTGGGAAGGAAAACGAGACAGAGGCTCAGTATCTGAGCTTGGGAGAGAGAGATGGCGGGGAAGGGGGAGGGGGGAGGCCGGGCGTGTTCCGGGAATGAACACCCAGGGGAGCGCACAGGGGGAGAGGGCACTCACAGTCCGCCCGCCGCATCAAGGCCAGGTCCGGCTCGTGGATGAACCTGTCACCCTCCGCAGGCTGTTCCCCTGTGGTGGAGGGAAAGCTGGTCAGGGCCGCGCTCTCATCTGGTCCTCTGCCCGCCAGAGCCACCCCCACATCCTCCCTGCTCAGGGCGGGAGGGAGGTGACTAGATGACCTCTCAGGGCCTGCCCAACACTGAAAGTCTATGAAAAGGAGGAAATGGAACAGCCACAAGAGAAAAACCAGCCCTCTGCACGCTGGGATGTATGACACGGGCCAGATGAGTGATCCAAAATAAGATTAACCAGTTAACCGCCGCGATATTTTGAATTTAAAAAGCTCCGCCGCTTGCATCTATAGAAGCTTATGGCATACAAGTGGTTAAGTGAAGGACTAACTGGCCGTGGGCAGAGTGGTCACAGGTGGAGAGGAGGCGGAAGAGCATCCAGGTGGGGGAAATGGCAGGCAGGAGCAAGGACTGGTCAGTGCAATGAAGGACGGAGGGAGACCAGGCTGAAGCCTCATGGAGTGGCTCTCACGCTTTGGCAGGTTCCAGAATCACCTGAGAACTTGATAAAACTACAAAGACCCAGGTGTCACTGGGCTCAGCGGCTTCATTCCCACCAAGTTTGAGAACCACTGTCTGCATGCAAGGCGGCCTGTTGGGGGTGGTGGGGGGCGGCGGGAATCCAGGTAGAGGCAGCTGGGGAAAGGGGACGGAGCTTGGCGTTCAGCCTGATTGCATGCCACGCGTTAGGACTGTAAGGCTCACAGCTACCTGCACCGGAGCAGAGTCACCGGAGAACGTGCTCAAAGGAGCTTCTAAGGCTTCATCCCAACCACGGGGACCTGCATTTTGAACAAGCTCCTCAGATGACAGCTGAGCACACTAAGCCTGAGACCCACCAGGCAGGCGTGGACACACCTGAGACCACGAACCAGGAGCTTCGGGTCCCTCGTACAGGCCCTTTCCAACACCCCCGGCAATTTCGTCTTTTTAAAGAGGTCTCCCAGGACTGCGTTAATCCCACCAATCCTGCATCTGCTCCTGAGTAACGCATCGCACTTCCCGATTTCTAGTTATATTATAAAGTAAAACAATCAAAACAGTATGGTATTGGCATAAAAACAAACACCAATGGAACAGAATCAAGAGCCCAGGAATAAAGCCACGCATGGACACTCAACCAACATCTGACAAGGGGGCCAAGAATACTCCGCGGAGAAAAGACTCTCTCTTTCGTAAACGGTGCTGGGGAAACTGGGCATTCACATGTAAGAGAATGAAACTAGACCCCTAGTTACACCACTCACAAAAATTAACTTGAAATGGATTAAAGATGTAAATGTAAGACCAGAAACGATAAAACTCCTAGAAGAAAACACGGGAAAAAGCTCCTTGACTCGGGTCTTGGCAATGGTTTTTTGGATACGACACCTAAGGCACAAGCAACAAAATAAAAAATAAACAAGGGGGACTACGCCAAACTAAAAAGCTGCTTTCTGCACGGCAAAAGAAATAATCAACAAAACAAAAATACAACCTACAGAAGGGGAGAAAATATCTGCAAACCATGTACTGACAAGGGTTAATATCCAAAATACAGGGTGGGGCAAACGTAGGTTTACAGTTGTGAGTATGTGAAACACAGCTATTCTTATATTATTATTATATTATTTTCCATATAAACAACTAAATGTACTTTCCCCCCCACTTTTTAAAAAAATATATATTTTATTGGTTTTTTACAGAGAGGAAGGGAGAAGGATAGAGAGTTAGAAACATCCATGAGAGAGAAACATCGATCAGCTGCCTCCTGCACACTCCCCACTGGGGGTGTGCCCACAACCAAGGTACATGCCCTTGACCGGAATTGAACCTGGGACCCTTGAGTCCGCAGGCCGACGCTCTATCTGCTGAGGCAAACCGGTTAGGGCTCCTCCCCACTTTTATTAAAAACAAAACCAAACCTCATACAACTCAGCAGCAAGAAAACAAATAATCCAATTAAAAACCATCAAAGAACTGGAAAAGACATTTTATCAAAGAAGATGCATGAATGGCCAACAGATACATGAAAAGGTGTTCAACATCACTAGTCATTAGGGACAAGCAAATCAAAACCACAACGAGCCCTAGCCAGTTTGACTCAGTGCATAGAGAGGAGCCCTGCGGACTGAAAGGTCCCAGGTTTGATTCTGGTCAAGGGCACATGCCCAGGTTACAGGGGGGTGCGTGCAGGAGGCAGCCAATCAATGATTCTCATCACTCTCTCCCTCTCCCTTCCTCTCTGAACTCAATAAAACAAATTTTAAATAAGAATGCTATTTCCTACCTGGTTTGGCTCAGTAGATAGAGCATTGGCCTGTGGACTGAAGGGCCCTGGGTTCGATTCCAGTCAAGGGTACATGCCCAGGTTGCAGGCTCAACCCCCAGTTGGGGGCGT